GTTACCTGGAGTATACTTGGGAGAGAGTTGGAGTAGCCAGCCAAAGATCAGGAAATATTTATTGCAATAACATGTGAATTTTTTTTTAAGTGTGTCTTTAGTGTAGGAGACTGGCAGAGTTGGAGGGGAAGATATGGGCCAGATCATAAAGGCCTTTTAGTCTTGAAAACTCCAGAGCTGTAGAAGGGAAATGACTAGGAAATGATGCCATTAGCTTTGCATTTATTTATCAACTCATTTTTAATTTTTTTCAATTGAAGTGTAGTTGACATGTAATGTTAGTTTCAGGTGTACACATAGTGATTCAACATTTATATATATAGTGAAGTGATCACCATAATGAATCTGTCTACCATTTGTCACCATAAAAGATTATTAACATATTAGTATATTCCCTATGCAGTACATTGTATCCCTATGTCATGTTTATTTTAACTTGATGTTTGTACCTCTTATTTTCTACTTACTTTGTACCCTTCACTCTCCTTCTCTCTGGCAACCACCATATTATTTTTCCCATCCCTTCACTCTCTTTCTCTCTGGCAACCACCATATTATTCACTATTATCTAGGGGTCAGTATCTATTTTTTTTCCTTAGTTCTACATATAAGTGAAATCGTATGGTATTTGTCTTTCTCTGACATATTTCACTTAGAATAATACCATCTCTGTCCACCCATGTTGTCACAAATGGCAAGATTTTATTCTTTTTTTATGGCTGAGTAATGTTTCATTCAAACATATAAACATATATACATATAAACATATACATGTATACACATATACTGTCAATTTCTTCCTTTATGTCTTAATATTTGCTTTATATAGCTAGGTGTCCATATGTGGGTGCGTAGATATTTACAAGTGTTCTATCCTCTTGTTGGGTTGATCCCTTTATCATCATGTGATGTTCTTTTTTGTCCCTTGTTACATTTTTTTGTTTTAAAGTCTATTTTATCTAATGTAAAGTATTGCTACACCAGCTTTCTTTTTATTTCCATTTGCATGGAATATCATTTTCCATTCCTTCACTTTCAGTCTGTGTGTGTCTCTAGATCTGAAGTGAGTCTCTTATAGACAGCGCATATATACTATATATATATATATGTCTTTTTAATAATCCGTTCACCCCCCCACTTTCTCTTTTGATTGCAACATTTAGTTTTGTTGTAGTTATTTATAGATATGTACCTATTGCCATTTTGTTCATTGTTTTCTGTTGTTGTTGTTCTTGTTGTAGTTTTTCTGTTCCTTTCTTCTGCTCTCTTCCCTTATGATTTGGTGACATTTGGTCCCTTGTGTCAAGTTTGTATTCCTTTTTCTTCATTTTTTTTTTTTTGTGTGTGTGTGTGTGTGCAGCTTTTATAGATACTTGGTTTTTGGTTTCCATGAGGTTCATATATAATATCCTTAGTGTATAGTAGTTTGCTTTAAGTTAATGGTTACGTTCAAGCATGTTCTAAAAGCACTACATTTTAACTGCCTACCCCCTGCCACATTTTCTGTTTTTGACATCACATTTTACACATTATTATCTTAGTAGTCCTAGATGATTTTACTACTTTTGTCTTTTAATCTACATTCTAGCTATGTTGGTAGCTAGATCCACTTCTTTACTATATATATTTACCATTACCAATGAGATATTTTTTTCTTTCATAGTTATGAAATTTTAATTTCAGTTATGGCCTTTTCTTTTTTATTTAAAGACATCCTTTTAACATTTCTTGTAAGGCTGGTTGGATGAACTCCTTTAGTTTTTGCTTATCTGAGAAACTTCTTATCTCTCCTTTACTATTGCTGGGTGTAGAGTATTCTTGGTTGTATTTTTTTTTTTTCCCCATTCAGCACTTTGAATATATCATATTACTCCCTTTTGTAAAATTTCTGATATAAAATCAGCTGATAGTCATAAGGGGGTTTCCTTGTATGTAAGTAGTTGTTTTTCTCTGGCTGCTTTTAAGATTTTCGATTTAATTCCTGACACTAGTTATAATACGTCTTGGTGTGGGTCTGTTTGGGTTCATGTTATTTTGGACTCTGTTCCTGGACTTGGATGTCTATTTCCTTTACCAGGTTAGGGAAGTATTCAAGCATTAGTTCTTCAGTTAGGTTTTCTGTCCTTTTTTCTCTTTGTTCTGCTTCTGGACTCCTCTAATGCAAGTATTTGAATACTTGACATTGTCCCGTTGGTCCCTTAAACTGTGCTCACTTTTTAAATTACCTTTTCTTTTTGCTGTTCTGATTGGGTGATTTTCATTCCTCAGTCTTCCATTCCTCTCCACTGATCCATTCTCCTGCATCATTTAATCTGCTGTTGATTCCTAACTTCCTTCCAGTTATTGTATTCTTCAGCCCTGATTCTTTTTTATATTTTCTACCTCTTCATTGAAGTTCTACCTGTGTTCATTTTTCCTTTGATTTTAGTAAATATCTTTATGATCCTTACTTTGAGTCCATCTGGTCTAGCGTGTCATTCAAAGCCATTGGTTCCTTGTTTATTTTCTGTTCAGATTATCTGTTGATTAAGCAGGGTGTTAAAGTCCCCTACTATTATTGTCTTATTATCAATTAGTTCCTTTATGTTTGTTATTAATTGTTTTATATATTTGGGTGCTCCCATGTTGTGGGCATAAATATTTATAATTGTTGGATCTTCTTGTTGGACTGTCCCCTTTATTATGATATAATATCCTTCTTTATCTCTTCTTACAGCCTTTTGTTTTAAAGTCTAGTTTGTCAGATATAAGTATTGCCACCCTAGCTTTCTTTTGACATACATCTGTGTGATAAATGTTTCTCCCATCCCCTCACTTTCTTTTTTTTTTTGGTAAGATTTTATCTATTTGACAGAGTGCACAAGAGGGAGAAAACAGGCTCCCCACTGAGCAGGGAGCCTGATGTGGGGCTCGATTCCAGGCAGACGTTTAACTGACTGAGCCACCCAGGTGCTCCCATCCCCTCACTTTCAATCTGTAGGTGTCCTTAAGTCTAAAATGAGCCTCTTGTAGACAGCATAATGATGGGTCTTGTTTTTTTATTCACTGTGACACCCTATGTCTTTGGATTAGAGCATTTAGTCCATTTACATTTAAAGTAATTATTGATAGATATGTATTTATTGCCATTTTATTATGTGTTTTGTTGTTTCTGGAGATTTTCTCAGATCCTTTATTGTCTTTGTCACTTTTGGTCTTTCCTTTCCACTCAAAGAATCCCCTTTAGTATTTCTTGCAAAGCTGATTTAGTGGTATGACCATTACTTTGAACTCTTTATCTGATAGATTGCTTATCTCTGTTTTGTTTAGTTTTTCTGAGCTTTTGTTTTGTTCTTTCATTAGGAACATATTCCTCTGTCTCCTTATTTTGCCTAACTCTGTTTCTGTGTATTAGGTAGATCAGTTACATTTCTCAGTCTTGAGATTAGTTTTGCATATTAGATCATTCTGGCAGCCCTGAGGAGTGGAGATTAGACAGGTGGAGAAGTGGGAAAGCAAGTTTATTAGGAGGCATTTTGGCGACCTTAAGGAGCAGTGTGAAGACCTGAAATCAATGTCAGAATGAAGAGGAAGCAGAGTAAATATATTCAGGAACAAGAATCAACAGAATTCATGTGGCAGTGATGGGGTTGGGGGGGGGGGGGCGGGAGCCAATTTAAAATTAATTAATCCTGGGGTGCCTGCGTGGCTCCGGGTTATGAGATTGAGCCCTGCCTTAGACATGCTGGTCGTGGAGCCTGCTTAAAATTCTCTCCCTCCCCCGACAACTTGCGTGTGTGTGTGTGTGTGTGTGCGCGTGCATACTCTCTGTCTCTTAAAAAAAAAAAAAAAATCCTAGATTTCTGGTAGGATAAGTGGAGGATTTTCGTACCAGTTTGGTAGGAGAAAGAGAAAGTTTTGAGATAATTGTGGCACATTAAGATGAGGGTGTCCAAAAATTAATATTAATTATTATTATGGTTTACTACTTAGTTACTAATATTACATTCACTGAGTGTTGAGGTGTATACTATTATTACCCTCATTTTGCCACTAATGAAACTGAGGCCCAAAGAAGGTTGATAACTTGTCCCAGGTCACAAAGGAAGTAAGTGCAGAGTGAAAATTTGAATTTGAGAGATGATTACATTTTCCAGTCTCTTGGTTGCTTTATGCTCTTGCTTTTCAGTCACATGGAGATATGATCTGTGAGATAAAGTTATAACCTGGAGATAGGGATTTGGAGTTACCACCTCCAGGTGAGGGACGAAACCACTGGCCTGGATGAATGACAGGTCTTTGCAGAGTCCTTGGAGTTCATGCAAGTGCACTGAGGTTCAAAAAGAGGAAGTGAGGGCGCCTGGGTGGCTCAGTTGGTTAAGCGACTGCCTTCGGCTCAGGTCATGATCCTGGAGTCCCGGGATCGAGTCCCACATCGGGCTCCCTGCTCGGCAGGGGATCTGCTTCTCCCTCTGACCCTCCTCCCTCTCATGCTCTCTGTCTCTCATTCTCTCTCTCAAATAAATAAATAAAATCTTTAAAAACAAAAAAAAAAACAAAAACAAAAAGAGGAAGTGAGCTTGTGTAGAAATTGAGTGACCAGAAAGACAGGAGGAAAAACCAGAAAGAATTGCTTTACAAAAGCCAAAATGTATTTTTTTTTTCCTTAAGAAATGAAATCAACAGTTTTAAAAATCTTGAAAATGTAGCTGCAAAATCCAGTCACCCATGATGCTGGCCAGAGTAGTTTCAGTTCAGTTATTCAGAAACAAAATAAAAAGGGTCAGGAAATGAAGGGAGGTGAGACCATGAATTCAGAGAACTTCTGTACTTCCTAGAGAGATGTAACTGCACAGACAAAAGAGAGATGGAATGGAAGCTAGTGGTAGACAGAGGGGTTTTCTTCTCATGGATGAGACAAGATCACATTTATATGGATTTAAGGATAATCTGTCTAGAATTAAGAATTAAAAAAAAAACAACACCCAAATTATAATTTGAAATGCTTTTAAACTTTACAGAACATTATACATCCATGGGCATACCAAGTTGGATTTCACAGTCTGGCATACCGCAATTGAGAAAGCAGCAGGTACAGATGGTAATGCATTACAGGATCAGCAGCTCAGCAAAAATGACGTTCCCATTATTGTGAACAGCTGTATAGCATTTGTTACACAGTATGGTAAGTATCACAGAGTTTTTATTCAACCCCCAGAACTCATACTATCATTCTTAGAGTTTTTAAGTGGTACCTCCATTGGACTGCATTAGAGCTTTATATTTGTAAGTACATCCATGAAAAATAAAAACGTAGTCCCTGTTCAGCCAAATGCCATTCCTTCTCCCAATAAAATTCAAATTACTTAATGTACTTTTACTATTTTCTTCTTTCACATGCATAAAAATTTTAAATGCCAGATTGAAAGAATCTATATTGTAAAATGTATATTAGAAATAGGTTGAAGACTATATTTTTAAGAGGTTACAAGCCTACAGTAAAGTCTAGGAAAAGGCAAAGGGTTGCCCCATAAGCATGTTTTTGGAAGTGGAAAACTATGGGACAGTATGTAAAAAAAGAATTTATTTTTTTGGTGCCATACATTCAAAGTATATGTGATTATTTATTTCATTCACCATGCTCTTGTTCACGTTTACATTAAGAATCATGGTTATCGTAATAGTTTTGACTTAATTTTAATGGGCATTTTTATGAATAGCTTGCAAGTAAAAAACAACTGGTTGACACATGGTCTAGCTTCATTTTAATTTAATATGGTGTGATAGTATTTTAGATGTGCCTGAAAAGTAAATAAAGTATGCCTTGATTTTTCATGTTTATTTTCAAATTACTTTGAATTCCTCAAATTCCTTCTTTCTGCTACGTATTTCCTTAATACTCTAAAAGGTAGAAATTTGTTAACTATTTTTAATATAAAAATGTTTTCTACCTGTTAATCTGTAGATAAGTGCCATTGATTTAGATTACAAATGTGGAAAAGTAAAATGATTGATCTTATATTTTGAAAAGCAATTAACTTTTATTTTTGTTCTCTCAATATTAGAAGTGTCCTTGGGTGTTTTTATTTTGAAAAGAAGGTGTAATCAGTGAGAGAGCTGCTGTAAAACATTGTTTTACTGGTTCATTACTTATTTATTGTCTGTTGTGTGCCAGCCATTGATCTTGGTACTGGAAATACAGCAGTGGGAGTAAAAAGTTAAAGACAAAGCCATGAATCATGGGTTTCAGTCTGAGAACTGACAATAAACTGATATGAGCAAAATGTCAAAAATAACAAAGGCCATGAAGAAAATAATTTTTAGAAATTAAATTTATAACATGCATATATTAATCTATTTTCTTCTGGAGAGAGTGCCATTTTATGTATTTTGCTTATTTCACATGTAATCCAAGTATAGTTATCATTGATATTCAGATTCATTGGGTTTGAATTATATAGGTTTGAATTATATATCTACTGTAAATATGTATGTAATCACATTATGTGGCTATTACTCTATGAAATTCCTTCCTATGATAGTATGTCTGTGTTCTCTTTATCAACGGTAATCATCTGTTTATATGAAAATGGGGGAGGAGGAAGGTTATGGTCTTCATTTATTAGCCATTCCTTATTAGCGCACTTGAATTTCATAGGTATAAATGAATTACACACATACTATGTTTTAGCAAGAGCATAACCTCATTGGGAATTTTCACATCATGTTAGTTTCATAATGGCATAGGGTCTTTCTTAAGCTGAGAAATGATTAAAATAACTCTTCTAGCTCCAGTGTATCCAATTTAATGTTTCTAGGGAAATCAGAAGTTTCTTCGTGATGTTTCTTTGAATTAAGCATTAGATTTTTTCAACCAAATTTCATACATTAAAACTACTTTGTAACTCTGGCACAAGGTACATTAACTTGCATTTTAAAGTAATAAAGCCAATGAAAGACTCTTTATGTTTTGTTTTGTTTTGTTTGTTTTTAATGAGCAGAACATGGGGAAAACCCAATGTTGCCAGCATGTATAGAAGGGAAGATAACATATGTACTTAGAAAATGCCCAGTAATTAATAGAATGCAGGTGGTTGACTCAGAGCTTACAACAGCAATTATTTTGAACTTCCTGACCTTTGTATTAAAATCTGAAAGCCAGGGGCGCTTGGGTGGCTCAGTCGGTTAAACAGCTGCCTTGGGCTCAGGTCATGATCCCAGATTCCTGGGATCGGGCCCCACATCAGGCTCCCTGCTCTGTGGAGAGCCTGCTTCTCCTTCTCCCCTGCTTGTGCTCTCTAGCTCTCTCTCTCAAATAAGTAAAATCTGAAGACCAATTTTTTGTGCTCACAGTGTCAAGATTTGAACCTGACCAAGTTCAGAGTCAAATTTTTAGAGTTTTAATTTTTTTAATGGGTTATAGTAGTTAGTTTTTTGGGGAAATTAATTTTTGTAAACAAAATTTTTAAATTCACATGCAGTTAACTTATTTGAGGACTTAGCTATTAGAAATTTACTCAGCTAGGAACATAATATCTCAAAAACTTAGTCCCATTTTTTGGTTGTTTTTGTAGAAGTTGCTTATTCTTGCATTAAATAATCATTTATTGAATGCTTGCTAAGTTCTAGTCATAGTGTAGTTAACTGTACACAGAGAGTAAGACATGATCCTTGCCTTCTAGGTTTTTACACATTTTTTGAATCAAAGACAAACAGCTGGGCAGTTACATCTCAAGTGTACAAAATTCTGTGGTAGGGAGGTTCAGGGGTTGGTACGGGGTGAATTTCACCCAGAGTAGGGGTGGTCGTAGGGAGCTTCATGGGTGAGATGTGGTGCCTAGCATAATGATTAAGAGAAAACAGGAGCTAGTTAGGAGAAGGAAGTAGGGATTCTAGGAGGAGGAACAGGGTACGACCATGTATAGAATCATGAGGGAAGTCATCTGTTGAGGGAACTTTGTGTAGTTAAATGTGGCCAGAGCTTAGTGTTGGAAGAACCAAAGATAAGAGGCAGGAGGGTTAGGCTTATTCATGTAGAGCCTTAAATGTTATAATATATACTCAAACTTACCCTCTAGGCAGTGGGAAGGTGGCATGCAGATTTTTAAGCCTGTTGGTAACACGAGCAGACCTGTATCTCAGATCAAGCTGTTATCAGTGTGGAGGCGGACTGGAGGGCTGCCCAAGAATAGGGGCAGGGTGTTGTGAAAATGTAGTGAGGAATTGAGTGCAAAAAATAACAGTACATGAGATAGAAAAAGGGGGACAGTTTTGAGAGCAAGATTATGATGAAAAATATATGTGACATTTGTTTCATTTTAATACTGTAAACGAGAAAGAAAAGTTCTGACTTACAAAGAACTGGGGAGAAGGCACTGCTGTGTATTGAGATACAGGAACAAGATAAAGAACATATTGGGATTGGTAGGTGACATAGCAAATGGGGCAGGAGACTTGATTCCTCAGATTTTTTTGATTTGTCCATGACAATCGTGTGTGTGTGTTACAGGTATATTATAAAGAATCTGTATATTAAAGGGTGATTGTGTGTGTGTGTGTGTGTTTGACATCTTAGAAATGAAAACCTGGGTGAAAATGTGTATGTAGTAGTTGAAGTGATAAAGTTGGATGGGTTCACCCAGAGAATTTGTGGAGCAGTTGGGAAGAGAAGAGACTTGAGGATGGATTTCTGGAATCATTAGTAAATATTAGGTGGTAGTATAACTAGAGGACTGGAAGAGTCATCATAGAGGAAGGGGGCAGGAAGATATGGGATCATAATGTCATGAAGGCCATGAAATTAAAAGAATTTTAGCAGGGATTCATTTGGAATGTCAAATACTGCAGGGGATTCTCATTGGATAAAAATAGAAAAGCATATAGAAAATAGGATGTCATTGGTATTCTTGATGCAGATGGTCCCAATAGAGTGGGGATTGGGCACAGAAGCAAGATTGTGGTTCAAGGATGAACAGGAAGGTGAGATGGTAGGAAGAATAAATATAGGAAATTCAATGGGGTTTTGGAAGGAGGAGACACCAGAGACCTGGGAGGGGGGGCAAGGGAGCATTTAATTTTTTTTTGTTTGTATCATCATCATTACAATCACTCCTCTTTACTCTTCTTCCTCTTACTAACCATGCCTCCCCCCTTTGTTTATATAGGGCACTTAATGAATCAATCAATAACTGTGAAAAGGAGATGACCCTTGGGGCACCTGGGTGGCTCAGTTGGTTACGTGTCTGACTCTTGATTTCAGCTCAGGTCATGATCTCAGGGTGGGGAGATCGAGCCTCATGTTGGGCTCTGTGCTGGGTGTGGAGCCTGCTTGAGATTCTCTTCCTCTCCCTCTGCCCCTCTCCCCCCTCAAAAAAGCAAAACAAAACAAAGAAAAGGAGATGACCCAACTCTTTCATCTAGAAGAAGGTGAAAATGTGAACAGAAATTAATATACAAATATGAGTGCAGACGGTTAAGAAATATTATACCAGAGAGCCTCTTTACCGGCGAAACTGGAGACAAGATTGAATTCTGGGAGACAAAGTGAAGATAGGGTACCTGTGGTAAAAGAACATTTGCAGATACCATGAAAAACTGGGGGAAGGGCTGACCAGGGGTTTGCTAACAGCTGAGGCTGAAATAGCTCATCAGGTTTACATTTTAAATACTAAAATTAGTGGGCTGGGGAGGCTTTTTCCCTCATGCATGTTTATATCAACTCTTGGGTAATGATTTTGTTTTGCTTAATATCCCAACGCAGAATTTTTCTATTTCTAAGATATAAAAGTGGATTTTGATTTTTGACTTTTTTTCATATAACTTTTTTTTTTTTTAAACAAAGGTTTAGGGTACAAATACATCTATCAAAAGAATGGTGATCCTTTGCACATAAGTGAACTCCTGGAGAGTTTCAAAAAGGATGCAAGAAGCTTTAAATTGAGAGCTGGAAAACATCAGCTTGAAGATGTGACAGGCGTGTTGAAAAAATTTCTCTCTGACATTGATGATGCACTTCTTACTAAGGAGCTCTATCCATATTGGATCTCTGCTTTAGGTACTACATATAATATAGAACATAATAAATGCTTGCCTTCTAATTTTATAATTATATTTTTAAAATCTTTAATAATCTGAGAATTTAATTGAAAGGAAAAATGTACATAATGGCTTAGAACAGAAATTGTGCAAATATCAATAGTTGTTTATATCTACCTCAAAATAAATTTATAGTAATAATTGCTAAATAGTGTGTTAAAGTAATTCTTAGTTTTCAGATTTCTTAGTGTTTGCTTTAACTTTAGAAGTGTTATGGTCAAGTCCATGTATGCTATTAATTTCTCATTAAGATTAAAATGAAAGGTGTAATATAAGATTTGTTTTATCCCATTTCCCCATTGGCTCTTCACCTCTGTCATTTACTCTGCCTCTGTAGGGGTACATGAGAGTATTTTTTTTAACTCTTTCTTTCTTCATTTTTCTTTCATTAATTAAAAAAAAAAGCTTTATACTATTTAAGAAATGCCCCTAGAAAAGTAGTTATTTAATCACTTATTGGTTTAAATTGATTCAGTAAAACCTACGTTTACATCCATTAATTCAAAATAACTCCTTTTACAAAAATGTTACAAAAATGAAGACTTTTAAATGTAAACATTACTTTTAATTCTATCTTTCTAATAGAACAATTTTCATTCTTATATATTATTTTATAGTCTTTGTCCCTACACCTATAATTTATGTATAATCCTTATTATATTAATAAACCACAAATATTTCTCATATATCTACAGTTTTTAAAAATGATTTTCAATCTTCATTTTTTTCAATTAAAAAATATTGAATTTTTTATCATAATTTACTAATATATTTCTCACTTGTACATTTAATCTGTTTCAAGATTTTTTGCAAAAGTGACCTTTGAATTTCACTATATGATATTCCTCTGTTGAGAAATAGGCCTTTTCAGTGAAAGTATTTGTTTAATCTCAAATATAAATATATTTTAAGGGATTAATGTGGAAATGATGTCATAAAACATTCACAGGTTGAAAAATTATCCCAAGAATGACCTGTATTAGTGTCAGCAAGCAGGGAGTGGGGTTGTTATTAAAATAAAGCTTTTCTTTTTTAACTACCAATTCAGAAGCCTTTTATTTGCCTCCTGATATTTCTCAAATCAATAGGTTCAACTCTAATCAAAAAGAGAGTTGATTGCATAATTACATGGGATATAAAATATGGAATTAGATAATATATCTCTTTAAGCTCAGTTATCTTGCCACCCTCATTTTTGTTTCGGAAGGAGTTCTTTGTAATTTATAACTATGAAATTATAGCATCTCGATAAAGGCTTATAATTTCTTTGTTGTAAAATCAGTTATCAAAAATTTGAGGCAAATAAACTTTTGCTCAGTTATCAGGTTCTATGTCTTTAATGTTGTCAGGGGGAGGTAGTTGGTAGATAATAGCATGTGTCAAAAAGGAATGTGTTCACCTTTTACTTGTATGTGAATTCTTGGAGAAGGTTTTGGATACTAGGTCAGGTAGCCTTAAAGTCATTTGCTTTTAGATCCAGCATAGCCCTGACTTGTCAGAAGTGCCCTATGTTGGATCTGACAAGAATAAACTGGAACGTTCATGGTGACCTCGTACGAGAGCTCTCTTGGGTCCTGTGCACTGAGGCAAAGAATGCCTTACAGTGTCGTACCACTTATTTATATGATATATGATCTGTTCTAAGAACACCATTAAATTGAAGTCTGTGGCTAGCTGAACAGTTCCTTATATTTTCTGTATGACCTGAAATCTAAAGTTTTACTTTCAGATTGCTTAAGCTTTACTTTGAAAATACCATCTATTTTATCCTTACTAGATTTGTGAAAATATGCTGTACTAGCATGACTTCTTACAGTAAGTGTAGTAGAATTAATTACATTTTATTAAATAAATACCATTACAGTTAGAAACTGGATGAGAAGAGGGTAAAATTTGGATTGTACTAGAGATGATAGATAATTCTTCATTCACTTCCAGTATAGTCCTTTGAATGTAATTTAGGTGTTTTCCACTCTTGCTTTTAGAGAGTCATCCACTAGCAGGCTTAAGTCAGTATGATCACGTTTACTTTCGGAGACCTTACGTGCAGGCTAAATCAGTACAAAAGAGCTATCAGTTACAGTTTTGAATAGGAGTCTACTTCAGAAATGTGCCACAGAGTTTCTTACCTCCCCAGGGATCCTAATGCCCTTTACAAGTGACTGTGTACTTTTAAAGAATCATTAATGTGCTGCTGGCTTTCTGTGAATAGAATAGGTAGGGCTAAGCAGAAAATGAAAAAGTCTTGTTTCCAAAGGTAGTTGGGAATTGCAAGGGAATATATAAGTGCAATTCCCTTAAGTTACAAAGTCAGCACAAGGGTGCTTTATTTGAAGAATGGCCTTTCATTTCCCTTATGAGCTAGCAGGTCAGATCAGACCACCACTATACATCTTCTAGAGTCTAGAACTTCGGGAGTTCCTGGGTCTAGTTTCTCCAAGTATTTGACCTCTGGAGTTAGGGTAAGGAAGCATAATTCCTTTTCATCCTCCTCTCCATAACAGAGGGTCTGTTCTCCTCTAAGTCTGTGTAATAGTTTTCAGGGTCTGCTCATGACTTCTTTCATTACCCCCTCCCTTTTCCAAGGAGTTGGAGGTGCCAGGGTTGGTAAAAGGCCCTATACATAGATCTGCGGGGTAATGCAGTTCATAGCTTTGGAATGTGCGTAGTTTTGGTAAGATTTTTGTGATTTCCCGAAGAGAAAAAATCAGAAATGTCATTTTCAAATAACAGATAGTGAAATCTTTCCATAGCCAAAGAAAGTACTTTTGGTTTATCTCTCAATTTGTACTCCAATTTGAGTTATTAATTAAATATATTCCTATTAGTTGAAGTTCAGTAGTTCGTAAAGTGGAAGATAAAACGCAAACCTGGGTTTTGAAAGTGCTTCATTTTTAATTAGAAAGTATTAGAACTATAGTTTATGTAATGTTGATGTAAATGCTTTTCCAGATTTAGAGAAGTTTGAATGTTTATTCTATTGAAATTCGATTAGATCACTTAGTGAAATACAATAATGACTACTCTTTTAAAATACTGTTAAAAGGCAAATATGTAGTACAGACTCTTAGTTTAGGTCTAAAATTGTTTTTTGTTTTGTTTTGTTTTTAACCTCTAGATACTCAGGATGACAAGGAAAGAATTAAAAAGTATGGAGCATTTATACGTACTCTTCCAGGGGTCAACCAAGCAACGTTGGCAGCTGTAATTGAACACCTTTACAGGTGGGTGGTTTCATGAGCTTTCCTAGACATTTCAAACATGCCTTTAAATATGTCATTATTTCTTAAATTTAAAGTAGTATAACAAACTTTCTATATGGGACTGTGAATTTCCCATCATATCTTAAAAATGGTTTCAGTCTACCAAAAAACTACTAGAACTGATAAATGTATTCAGTAAGGTCGTAGGATACAAAATGAATATATAGAAATCTGTTGCATTTCTAGAGACTAATAACGAAGTAGCAGAAAGAGAAATTGAGAAAATACTTCCATTTATAATTGCACCAAAAATAATAAAATACTTAGGAATAAACTTAACCAATGAAGTGAAAGATTTGTACTCCAAAAATTGTAAAATACTGATGAAAGAAACTAAAGATGACAGAAATAAATGGAAAGATATACTATGCTCAAAGATTGGAAGAATTAAATTGCTAAAATGTCCATACTACCTAAAGCAATCTATAGATCTAATGTAATTCCTATCAAAATACCAATGGAATTTTTTACAGAATTAAAACCAAGTAATCCTAAAATTTGCATGGAACCACAAAAGGTCCCAAATAGCCAAAGCAATCTTGAGAAATAGTGGTAAAGCTGGAAGTACCACAATCCTAGATTTTAAGATACATTACAAAGCTCTAGTGATTGAAACAGTATGATACTGGCACAAAAATAGACACACAAAGCAATGGAACAGAATAGAGAGTCCAGAAATAAACTCATGCTTACATGGTTCATTTATGACAAAGGAGGCAAGAATATACAATGAGGAAAAGACAGTCTCTTTAACAAGTGGTGCTGGGAAAACCAGACAGCTACATGCAATAGACAGAAACTGGATCACTTTCTAACACCATACACAAAAAAGAAACTGAAATGGATTAAATACCGAAATGTGAGACCTTAAACAATAAAAATCCTAGAAGAGGACATAGACAGTAATTTCTTTGACATTGACCTTAGAAAAATCTTTCTAGATGTCTCCTTGGGGAGGGAAACAAAAGCAAAAATAACCTTTTGGGACTACACCAAAATAAAATGCTTTTGCACAGGAAAGGAAACTATCAACAAAACAAGGAAGCCTACTGAATGGGGGAAGATATTTGCAAATGATATATCCAATAACGGGTTAATATTCAAAGTATATAAAGAACTTCTACAAGTCAATGACAGAGAAACACATACTCTGATTAAAAATGGGTGGAGGACCTGAATAAACATTTCTCCAAAGAAGACAGTCAGATGGCCAACAGACACATGAAAAGATGCTCAACATCACTTATCATCAGGGAAATGCAAATCAAAACTACCATGAGATATCACCTTACGCCAGTCAGAATGGCTAGTATCGAAAAGACAGGAAATAATAAGTGTTGGCAAAGATGTGGAGAAAAGGGACCCCTCATGCACTGTTAATGGGAACATGAAATATTGGGAATATGAAATATGAAATAGTGTAGCCACTGTGGAAACAGTATGGATGTTGCTCAAAACAGTAAAAATAGAACTACCATATAATCTGATAATTCCACTACTGGGTATTTACTCAAAGAACGTAAAAGCACTAATTCAAAAAGATATATGCACTGCTATGTTTACTGCAGCATTATTTATAATAGTCAAGTCACAGAAACAACATTAAGTGTCCATCAATAGATGAATGGATAAAGAAGTAGTAGCATGTATACACAATGAAATATTACTCAGCCATAAAAAAGAATGAGGTTTTTGTCATTTGCAACAACATGGATGGACCTAGAGGATATTATACTAAAGTGAAATAAATCAGACTGAGAAAGACAAATACCATAAAATACCATATGATTTCACTTACATAAGGAATTTAAGAAAGAAATGAACAAAGAAGAAAAAAAAAAAAACAAAAAAAAAAAAAAAACAGATTCTTCAATACAGAGAACAACTGGTGTACCAGAGTAGGTGGGTGGGAGGATGGGTGAAGAAAATGGTTTTAAAATGAAATCCCCAGTAAACTATCACTTTAGTGTTTCTTTCTGTAGCTAAGACCCATTTCAGATAAATAGAATACTGGACGATTTCTTAAATGAATTAGAAATAATCAGGTACAGAATCCCCAAATGAATCCAGTGCATAAGCACAAACTTTTTGAAACTCACTTAAGAGGGAAGCTGGAGAAGAGAAGACCAGAATTCTCTAGCAGGAGTCTGTATGTAAGCATAGTATTTTTCTCATGGTGGACTCTATAGAAACTTTTAATTCTTCATTATGAATTTGTATCGAATTGATAATTCTAACATTTTAGTGTCAGACTGTTGATCAGAGGAGAAAATTTTAAAAATAAAAAATATTGTCTTTGTCAGCGTATGTAGTTTTCAACATTTGGGAGGATAGGAAGAATATAGTAGTAGCTTGAGAAGTGAGATCTCTGAAGGATGAGGAACGTTTTGAAAAAAAGAAAAAAAAACATTTTCCATTAAAATGAAAGGTTTGGTTTGTTTTGCTATCAGCAAGAATTACCACAGAACTTTAATAAGTGTAAATATGGCTTAAGGAATATCATTGTAGCTACAATCCTTCCTGCATGGATGCAGGACTCTCTTAAATGAATTTTAATGAAGCTGATTTCTACTAAAACTACCTTATTTGCAGTCTACGTTCAGAAATTATTCACAATTTCTTTTTTCGTTATCTTTCTTTTCCCACTACCACTTCTCATGCATGTGAACTCCATTACTATAAAACTGATTTTCTTATTATACAAGTATGGTGTATATATTTTCAAATATTTTTTTGTATGATTTTTTTTTCAAATATTTTAATGTATGACCAAGCTGCTACAGTTTATTAAGTTAATATTTTAAATATGGAGTTATACATATTTTTTCTTAAAATCTATTGATTGAGAGAGAGTGGGCACATGCTTTTGAGAGGGAGGAAGTAGGGGAGAGAGAGAGATGGAGCGGGAGAATACCAAGCAGACTCCCTGCTGAGCGCAGACCCTGATGTGGGGCTTGATCCCACAACCCTGAGAACATGACCTGAGCCAAAATCAAGAGTCGGATACTTAACCAACTGAGCCACCCAGGTGGTTAAGAATCTTTAAATTCTTAATTCAGGTTTGAATTTGAGATAATGAATTCCTGTCCTTCCCCCTCCCTCCTTCTCTCCAACTGACATATATTTTAGTTCCTACTATGTACACAACAGTACCTATTAAGATTCCACGTGAACAGAAACATTTGATAATAATACGTGAAGACAAGTCTTAAAGTCCACCGTTCCCAAACTGAGCATGTGGATGTCCGAGTGAATACGCAGGGTTGCTGCAGGGCATTTTATATTTTTTAGGGAAACACAGCAACATTGGGACAGTTTTTAATACAAAGAATTTTAGCATGGGCAGAAGGTTGGAGTGATTTGTCGTGTGTTGACACCCAGGGGATGCTTCACATCTAAAGGGGTATGTGAGCTGGGGTGAAAGAAAGGTAAGTACAAGAAATGAATGGAGGATATTTTGTGGGAAACAGGTGTGCTAGGGGATGAGCTGGTTGGTAGTTGGCTGGCAGGTGGTTGTGAAAGGCTCAGATGGTCATGTAAAAACATTTAGATTTTATTCCTTTAGGTAATAAAGAGTGACTGATCAAATCTGTTTTAGGACAATAACCCATGAATGGGATTGATTGGGAAGAGATTAGAATAGATGCAGAGAAACTAATCAGGAAACTGTTTTCTTGGACTTCTAATGAGAAAGCCTGAGTGAGAAGAGACTCAGTGGGCTGAATAGGAACACTTGGGAATGATAGCATGTGGGGCAGAGAAATAAAGGAAGGAAAGGAAAAAAAAACTGTAGTGTGGACTTTATGCCAGAAATTAAGGCAGTTGCAGAAATGGAAGAGGAGTGAGGTGAAGAGTAGCAAAGAGGATGCTATGGCAGAAGGAAGTCTCACAAAAGGTGGGAACGTTTGATAGAGTTGTCAGAAGTTTGCGAGGTCGATTTGGATAAGGTCAGGTTGATTTAGCATTTAATTCCATCCCTGCCCCAGATAACAGATCGCTTCCTCCATGACTAACATTTACTTAATTCCATTCACCAGATATTTATTACACAACTCCAGGGTGATTAAAGCAAGAGTCCCAGACGGGGAGATGCTTCGATTCTAGTAACACAGGCAGACCTGCAGATAAATTTTCCAGATGTTTATAATTTAGTGTGATAAAAGTACAGAAGTGGTTTCGAGAGGGATGTCCACAATTATTATACCCTCCTCTGTTAACTTGCAATTCCTTTTGCATCTTATGAATCACATATGATGATTATACTTGGTCTGTCTCTGCTATGCAGTTTGGCATTTTATTGTGAATTTCTTACATCATCATATATATATATTCCTGTCGCCTTTTACTTTTTTTGTAACTACTAGAATCTCTGCTTTTTATAGATGGGTGTACCTAACTTAGTCTTGTTTTATTCCTTTGATACAGCTGGTCTCCCTTTTTTAGTATGTATTTTAAAATTTATAAATGTAATTAGGAAAGTGAGCAGGGTCCTATTATATATGGTCAGTGACAAATAGCATCAACGGATACTTCTGTGTGTATCACTTATAGTTATCACCTGTGCATTTTTATAGATGCAAATGTTATTAAGAAAATCATAAAGAAAATATATTAATAGTACTGTAGTGTATTTATGGAAAAGAATCCACATGGAAGTGGACCCACACAGTTCAAACTGTGTTGTTCGAAGGTCAGCTGTACTTTAAGGGCTCTTCGTAAGACCCAAATGTTGTAGCTTACTCATGGGGAGAGTTGACTCCTCTGTTCATGTCTGTTCATTGCAAAAAGCCACTCAATAATATCCAAGAAAAGTATAATTGTATTTTTAAATTAAGTGTTTGCTTTCTGAGAGAGAATATCCAATTTTGAATAACCATACAAACACATGCTGCAAATATTTTCTCACCTGATTTGCCCTTCCTGGAAAACTCAGCTCAGCCTTGAACCTTGAATTTGGAACTCTCTCCTATATGCCTCCCAATTCACCTTTCTTGCCTTGTTTCCTACTTCCCCCTATTCCCTCTTTCATTTATGCTTCATAAGGGACTGAAGCATAATGCACATTTTCCACCATTGTGCAAGCACATCTTTATGCCTTAGTCTCAGGTTGCACTGTTATCTGGAATTATTTGGATATGGTGGGTCCCTCCTCCAATCAACAAACAAGTACTGCTTTGTAACCTGTAGTCATATCTTCTTTTAGTTTTTTTCTTATGTTCTTAACTAGACTGTAAACTAGCTGGAAACAAGAACTGCAGTTTTCTTTAAATCACCACCATACCTGTTATATCAGAGACCTTCAATATGTGTGTGCTAAATAATGATAAATGGGTATTGTGACTAAAGTTCTATGAAATTTTCAAATAGAAGTGTGTGGTAATGAGCTATGCTTTTCTCTAACAGGGTTCAGAAATGCTCAGAAATCAATCACATGAATGCGCATAATTTGGCCTTGGTCTTTTCATCCTGTTTGTTTCAAACTAAGGGACAAACTAGTGAAGAAGTGAATGTAATTGAGGACTTAATTAATGATTATGTTGAGATATTTGAGGTAAATATTTTATATCCTTCCCTTGTTAAAATAGTTTTGATGTTACTGTTGGCAAAATAAAAAATACATTTTAGTTTGTTTATAATCAAGTTTTTGAATATCTAAAAATAAAGGATAGTTATATGATTTTTAATACTTTAAATACAACTAGCCTTTTAAGCTTTAGCCATTCATTTTAAATTTGGCTGCTTTGAAAGCCATCTGGTGTCTTTTGGACAGAGTATTTTCTATTTATGGTGTTTCTATGGCTTTTTTTTCTTTGTCAGTATGTTGTATGTATTAAGTATGTCTACTCAGAGGTGTGAAATTATGAATTTCATAAATTTGGTAAGAGATACCAGGCTGATAACTTCTGCAATTGAATGCATTTTAGTGTTTTCTTTTAATTGTGTCTGAATTAGAAATGAAGAAAAACCTGAAATAATATCCTGTGGTTTTTACTAAGTCATCTATTCTAATTATTTGACTTTCATTTGCTATTTTATGAAGTCAATATATTCAGTGTTTCATCAGGAAACTGTCAGAATAAGGATGATTTCTTAGTTGAAGGAAGTAAAAATAGAGGAAATAAGCCCAGGATTTGAGTATGGGGGGAGAATATAAGGGATCTGAGTCAAAGGTTCAGTTTCATCACTTAATTACCACTGGCATGGCTGTCATATAACCTTTGGGGGCTCTTTGTTAAATGGTGTTGTATAAGACTTCTTGTTTTCCAGGGTTATGGATATGTTAGTTGAAATCAAGTGGGTTAATGTAATAGGTTATTATATGTAGACTTACCTTCTTTAAGTGATCACAAGAGTCCTTACACAAAGGAAAGAAACTCTATTTTAATAAAATAAAAACACAGAGTTTTTATCTTAATTTATATAGGAATGGACACCAAAATTGTTGGATTCTCTTTGCTCTTTGATCTCTTTTTTATTTTCTTTCTATATGTGTCCACTGTTTTTGATCAACAACAGCTTCTTTGCAATAATTCTGATGCTGAGAAATGAAAGAATTAGGAAAAAAAGTAATGTGTGGCTTTACGTGCTCTCTTTATTTTCTATTTTTGTACTGTTATGTGAATAAATAAATGGTTATCTTTGTAGTTTTGCTAACTCCAACTTGAAGTGGTGGAAATTTCGTATGCACTTAATGAGCATTTCAGTTTGAGACTGAGTCTTGTCTCTCAACCTACATAAACTCTAGCAAATCATTCATAAGCCCCTCTGCTTATGAAGTTGCTTAGTGATAAAGCTTCCATTGATGGAATCCACAGTTTGAAGTGATGTCATCATAAAATGCTCTGAACTTTATGAGGCTCTGTCATGTTGGCTTTATTTCTGCCCTAGCTGTGTGGGCCCATGCTGATTAAGATGTCCATTCTCATTTATTTTTAAATTGTTGGTCTTTAAATTCCTGAAGAGTTATGTGAGGATGAGTACCATCACTTCTTGTATTTTATTAGAATGTCCCAAATTATATTTTAAACAGGTTAAAGAAGACCAAGTCAAACAAATGGACATAGAAAATAGCTTTATTACCAAGTGGAAAGACACTCAAGTGAGTAGTATTAGTTAGATCTCCAAAGAATAAAAAAAAAACAAAAAAACAAAAAAAAAAACCCCAAAACTTCTGTTGTAAGTAAAGATGTTTGTTGTATTTATTTTCAAGCTCCTATTTGAAGCAAAGTAAAAGTAATGGGGAACAAAGAACCTAGATAAAATAGTTGCATATTTTTGCAGCATGATGCTTCTATGCAAAGTACCAAAGTATGTTAATGTAAATTTTTCAAAATACAGAGGGAAAAATCATTATTAATCTTATTAATGCCCTTTATAAAATCAATTTTTACTTACAAATGCGCTATTAAAAATGCCAGTGGATTTCAAAGGAAGCATTTAAAGCCAAAGAAATACTAGAGTAAATTGAAAATTCAGCTCTATAATGATTCTTTCCATTATGATTTTGAAAATATAAATTATTTCTTCTATGCTTTTGCTCTGCATGCTCTCAGATGATTATATTAGTGGAATGTTTCTGATGTCATCTTTGTCACATATGCTGATTTATGTCTTAAATTGACTATTTTCTAAACCTTCTTTTGCTTTCCTCAGTCGCATTATATTGGATTTGTGTGTTCAGGTTGCACTGCAGTTTTCCAGCATAGCTTTCCTTGTTTGGTGAACATTCACTGGATTTTCTTAAAATTCATATTTAATCTTCCTCTAATCACTTTGAATTGTAGTGGATACAGGATACCAGTGTAAATAATATCAATGGGTCAAATATATTCTGTTTATAGATATACTCAAAGAATGAGGCAAATGCTTCCTTATTAGTCAGACTCTAAATTTGCCTTATTCCTGAAATATTAGAAAAGTCACTGGAGCTACCATTCCATATGAAGGAGGGGAGGAAAGCCTTCAATTCTAGTGCCCGAGATCCTGAGTCCTAGTACTGTGATAGAGTACTTACCTAAGAAAGCATCTCCTCCATTTTGACCCTAAGTCATTAATGCAGGCTCCAGAGGAGTTATCCCTAACACTAAAAAATCTGACTCATTGAGTTGAATTGAATTACTTGAATTACTGCTTTCTGGGGAGTTTCAGTCATGAAATAAAGGGTTGTATGAGCCCAAGGGATAATCTTTGGCAGCATTACCTATGTTGTTATTAGATCAAGTATGAGTGTCCTTTTGCATTTTTATCTTTTATATTCATATTACAATAATGAGTCTTGGCTGCTTTTTAATTAAGTATAAGTCACTAAGTAGAGGAAAAGAATTGTCTATAAAATAGAGTAACTGGACCAGAAAAGTAGACGACTTTGGAGAAACCTGTTATTTCACGTGCGTTTTTCTCTAATCCATTGAAAACTCTGCTATAGCGTATTTTTCTGACAGCCTCCGTGTCTTATCCCTGTTTGAATTTCTTAGCTATTCTTGTTTTGGCTTCTCTGAGTCCTTTGTGTTTGCGTTTTTAATTTTTAAAATGTGTCCTTCCTGGAGAGTTGTTTATGCAAACACAGTGAAAAGTAGAAATGTCAACTGTATCGTTTCTTCCCTCGAATTTTTGTGTAGTTTTGAAAGTGAGGAAGAAAAATTGGAAATAAGGTTTTCTAAGTCTGTAGTGCCAGAATAATTAAGAACACTTCCTCAAAGTTCCTTTTTAATGTTTTCCTCACTAATTTCTTCATCAGGTTTTATTTTTAGTCAAATTTAACTTCAGAATGATTGTTTCTCCAATATCATTTTTTTTTAAATTGAGAGATACTATTTCTAAGTGGTTACATAACTTAAGGCAATTTCTGAAAAAAGCTACTCAAAATATTTTTCATGGATTCCTTTGGTTTTTCATTACCCTTTTCCACATTATATTGTCGATCTACATAGTGATATCTTACGGTTTTTATTTTCTGGATTGTCTCTTCTTCACTTAATATGTCTCCTGGGATATAATAGTGACCCAGATATTGGAACACTACATGGTTGGCTGACAATAATTAAAATAAAAGCTTCTCTTTTTCATCTACCTTATTCTAGCACTTCACTTTTTTTTCTTTGCTAAATATATTTTCTCTAGTTCTAGTATAGCTCCAACCTAATTTATCCTCAAATTTCAATTTTTGATATATCTCTTTGAAAATTTAGCAACACCTTTTTTCCCTTTTAAATAATGGTATTATACCCACACTGTAGCTTAGAGCACAATTACATATGGATCATTTGCACTTCTCATTTTGTTTGTCCTATTCATGGTGATGGCTCTTCTGACTTCTCTTGTTGACGTCAGCCTGTTCCCATTGTAGCCAGATTCATTATTTTACCAAGAATATTCAGGACATTAAACTCTTGGTTAAGAGATGAAAAAAAAAAATTGCACTGGGATTACATCATTTGTGTAGATTCCTTGTCAACCGCATCTGGAAAATGTGTATCATCATGCTATTGACAGGCTGATTTCACTATTATGAAATATTTAGAAATAGGGCTAGGACTTTGTGTCTTAAGTGTCATACTTTGTTGTTTTCACATCTGCCCCTTTCTAGGTTTCCCAGGCTGGAGATTTGTTAATCGAAGTGTATGTAGAAAGGAAGGAACCTGACTGCAGTATTATAATTCGGGTGAGTCCTAAAGATGGATGTAAAGAGTACTTTTGGAAGTTGCCAGTATTAATATGCATTAATTCCTATATCTTGAATTCTCCATTATTTCTTATATTTTATTTTACCTGTCTCATTCAAACAATGACTGATTGATAGGATTGACTTTTTATTCCAAAATCCTCCAGGAATTCCATGTTTTAGTCATTTGGAAAGAGAACATCTTAGATGCTTTAGGTTATGGTTAGGATTTTCTGTAGGTTCTAGAAAATAACCTGACCTCAAATACTTGTTTCTCCCCTTCATAGCATCTTAACATTAGGCAAGTTAACTTACTCTGAATTGCAGTCATCTCACCTGTAAAATGAGGATAATTAGAGTATTTACATCATATCATTGATGTGAGTCCTCAATAGGATACTGCTTCTAAAACAGTAAATTGCTTGGCACGTAAGTGTCTAATAAATAATCAATACTACTAGTCCTATATTATTTTTATTATTTATTAATAGTCTTCCACTCTTGTATTCTGGACTAACTTCCTATCTTCCAATTTATTTGAATATTGGACAACTCCTCTTTTTTGAGAATACGAATCTTTTTTTTTTTCTGAATTAAAAGTGTCCTTGTGCTGCCATATTCTGTATCCCGTCTGCCTTAGGGAGGGTAACGGTGATAATTCAGTTTCCTACTCGGTTAAGACTACATTCTCTGTATGAGGAAGACATTCTGCCATCTAAAGTCCAAGGTTTAAATAGAGTCTTATATATTTCTGGACTTTAGTTTTGTTCAATATATTGTAATCACTCATTATATTTTTTAATGATTACGTATTGTGTCTCTGTGGCACTGGTCAACTCACTTAGAACATGGCGTGAACTACTACAGTCATAAGTTGCTAAAGAGGCAGGAGTCTTGCCACTCCTTGGCCACATCAAATTTCTTATATTGCTTGTGGTATGTTGATAATAGGGGACACAAGGAAGTAGTACAGATAATCAGCACAAGTTCATCGTTAATGCTAGAAGAGGTATTCAATTCAAAGCACATGACTTAGCTCCACCTACACACAAACTGTTTAGCAGCTCCTTTTAATTTTATCTTATCGATAAGACCGTAACACAAGTTATTACAATAGACCGAAATTCTTATTTTAAGTATATGCACATAAAGGACTGCCCAGTTTCACCTATAACAACTCCAAATTCTCTTTAAAAACATAACAAAAACTATGTAAAAATAATCATTAACATTTGTTTCATGCTTGAGACTTTAGAAAACTCTTCAGTTATATTTATTTCAGCTGGTCGTTACCTCAGCCCCAGGAGATAGGTGAAGCAAGTAATGTCTCAAGTTTACATGAATACAAACTGGGAATTAAAAGTATTAAGGCCAGAACACATTCCTTGATCATCATATTCCTAACCTGATGATCATCATACTGATTTGTATATTCCTTGGAGTAATGATTTCCAAAGCATGCTTTGTGTAGTTCTAGTAGTTCTGGGGGTTCCCTGTCCTTGGGAGTCTTTGGGGACAAGGAATGGAGTTCCAGTTCCTGTGTCAACTTGAGGCACTCCCGGCTGACTCCTTCACAGTTTGGTTTCTCATTAATTTATTATTTTAAGAAAGGATATGCTTCTTAAAAAATGTTAAAGCCATTGAGGTGTGAGCAGCATTATTGAAATGATTCATCTAATGTTTCTATTGCTTAAAGTTTTCCAGTTTTCCCAGATAGTGAGGTTTTTTATTCTTTTAAGATTATATTTAGTTGGGATTTTAAAAATAAAAACCAGTGGACTTTATTGTATCATTCATATATTCCCGAAGAAAGCTATACATTCCACAAAGTACAGAAGATGAACCGTAGGAGTTACCTGTAACAGTGTGTTTTATGTTACATATGTGTGATATGCTTATGTACTGGACAGGAGAAATGGTAATGAGCACATTCCTTTTTGAAGAAATTTTTAAATGGGTACATACTGTTACTGAAAAAGTGCAAACTAGGTTGCAGTTGCAGTATCCTAATGTTTAAAACATCTTCTGTTTGTTTAACGTTATAACTAAATTCATATTGAAAAAAGCCAGCTTGCTTTTGTCCAGTATGCATTTAAGATTGGCAAAAACAAAAACAAGAAGAAACCAATCAAAAACCCCAAAAGTCCCTGAAGAAGATGGTGTGCTTATGTCATAGCCTGAGGCTTTGGGACTCTTGTGGAGCTGGCACTGCAGACTCTGCCCTCTGCCCTGAAATCCTGGCTCCAGCATGCTTTGATGTTCCACCGTCTGTCGCTTGGCACAGCAGAGCACACCACAGACCACTAAAACCCTGGGGCTTTTTGGCATGGTAGACAGCAGCCGACGGTGTATAATTCAGGGCCCAGACTGAATAAGCCAAACCACTTTGAACTCCTGATTATTGAACTGATGAGTGAACATGTTTAGTCCTGGAACACCATTGGATTCACTGTCTGGTGACGGTCTTTCTGTGTATGACTAGTCCCTTCTTCCCTCCTTGAGTGATCTAATTGCTCACTAAGTGAGAAAAAAAATACTCCTGATTATGTCTATTTTGTAATATCTTTTTGCACTCACATTACATTTTACGGAGAAGTTCGGAACAGGCTGTTTTTCCTGTGTGCTTAGAGAAGCTAGGTAAACATACTAAGTAAGAAACTTGGAGCATCATAAGTTGGTGGATGGGGTGAGCACTATTGGCCCTGTCATTAGGCGACTTCTGTGTCTGACATACATTCTGAAGAAATTTTGCCTCTCTTATAGATATCTCCTGTGATGGAAGCAGAGGAATTAACTAATGATATATTAGCAATAAAAAATATAATTCCTACGAAAGGTGATATTTGGGCCACATTTGAAGTCATTGAAAATGAAGAGCTGGGTAAGTGATTTTCATGCTAGGATTCTTAAATTCCTTATAGTGTGAAGAAGTACTATTTTTGTGACAAGTCATTAAAACATGTTTTTTAAATATTAACATCTCATTTTGAATTCCCTTCTACCTCAGTGCCTGTGTTAATATGTTATTGCCACTTGAGGTTGACCTCCTATGATTTTACTCATCTCAATAATTATTGACTATAAAAATATAGTGCAAAGCATTAGGCATCTATGTTGCTGCTTTATGAAATAGGCCTTTGTTTATAAGGACATGCAGTTTGATTTGTAACCATATGGCCACCCACCTCATTGCTATATACTACTCTTTTAACAAAAACAAAGAGTGTTGATTTAAAAGATTATTATTTTAAAAAACAATTTGTTTTAAGCCTAGTGGACTCTTATTTTTAGCTTTTTCCCTGTCCTCTGTCTTTAGTGGAGTGGATCAGATATCTTGTCATCTTTTATCTCAGAGGCAGAAAGATGAAGAGAGCTTTTAAAACACCTTGACTATTCCAGTAGTCAAATGCTAAATAAGCTTTACATTCTAATGACACCATTTGGTTGTAAAGACCTCTAGGAAAAAAAAAAAAAAAAAAAAGATGCAGAAAGTCTTTGTACCTTGACCATCTGTCTAGCTGATACCTACTAAGGTCTTGGACCCTTTCAAGTATAGTTGTCAAACTGCCAAAAGTAAAATCTTGCCAACTGCAAGCTCAAGATAAAAATTAAAATTCAACGTTGAAATACCCCATCGTGTATTATTAGCAGTGTTGCAGTCAATGTTAGAATGAATGGGATGTCAGATACTTTGTCTTTCATTAGTTCATCTTGATGTTTTCATTTCTTTCTTTTTATTGTGCATGATTCTTTAAAAATCTAATTTGTTTCCTGAGATTAAGAATTCCTCATATCAGTGAGATCATATAATACATGTCTTTCTCTGACTGACTTATTTCGCTCAGCATAATACCCTCCAGTTCCATCCACGCCGTTGCAAATGGCAAGATTTCAGGAAACAAACTGAGGGTTGCTGGAGTGGTGGGGTATGGGAGGGATGAGGTGGCTGGGTGATAGACATTGGGGAGGGTATGTGCTATGGTGAGTGCTGTGAATTGTGTAAGACTGTTGAATCACAGACCTGTACCTCTGAAACAAATAATACATTATATGTTAAAAAAAAGAAGATAGTAGGAAGGGAAAAATGAAGGGGGGAAATTGGAGGGGGAGAGGAACCATGAGAGACAATGGACTCAGAAACAAACTGAGGGTTCTAGAGGGGAAGGGGGGTGGGAGGATGGGTTAGCCTGGTGATGGGTATTAAAGAGGGCACGTATTGAATGTGTGTTATATGCAAACAATGAATCATGGAACACTACATCAGAAACTAATGATGTAATGTATGGTGATTAACATAACATAAAAAAAATCTAATTTGTATTCAAAAGTAATTTTTTTTTTAATATTCATTGTCAAGAGTACATGACTCCCATGCTTTGATGTTGGTTCACACTGTGTCTCCCCATACTCAATCACCCCATTTACAGGAAGTGGTCTAGCAGGTGATCAGTATGACCCCCCGTTCCGCCCCCCACCCCCAGCTTCCAAGTCCAGTTTATTTGCTTCAGGCTTTACTTGTCCTTTCTGTAGAGTTTATTGTTAATGAGCATTCCCTTTCCTTTTGAAGGTCTTCACTCTGTTTTTGACACTGTGTGGATGCTCCTCCTGGCTCTCTAATTGTTTTATCTCATTTGTCAATTCTTCTTCTGTCTATCCCCTAAGTGGTAGGTTTCTGCTGACCCAAGCTCCTTTGCCATCTTTTCTTATTTTACATGTTCTTTATAGATAATCCCTTCCTTCTTTGTGCTTGCCTAACCTGCATGAGCTGGTGTTTTCCCAGTGCATCTTTACTCTCCCCCGTCTGGCCCACCAGCTGACCTCCTTTAAAACACATACTAAGGGTTCTTTGCACTTTGTCTTATCTTATAGTGCCTATCACATGGATTTATATTCATCTCTTGAGAGCTCCTTGGAAGGAAGGGGGGTTACTTTCTTTTTTCTATATCAAGTATCTGGCATAGTGCCTTGGACATAGTTTCCAGACAATTAAAATCTACTGAATAAGTGAAGCACAATTTTTGCATTACTGTAGGTATATGGATGGTGCAGTCTTTTGATTTTTGTTGTTTCATTTTAAGAAAAGGGGGTGGGTTACTAGCTTCGTCATATTTGTGAGTAAAAGATAACTGTATCTTTCTGAATTACAAATAAGATCATATTGTTCCACCATTTAAAACCCTTTTATTATTTCCTCATTGCCTATCCTTCAAGATCCAGTTCAACTAATCTTTCTTCCTTGATGTTTAGATGAACATAGCTCTTCTCAGGGAGCTTTTCCTGATTACTTGTTTATTGATCTATAATACTGCATATTATCTACTTGTAGAATAGTAATGTATATATATGTGGCTCTGTCCTAGACCATATGTTTTTTTAGGACATTTACCATGTTTTTTAGACCTTTATACCTGTCACTACCTCTAGTAGAATGCATTGATGTGGAACATACCCTACAAGTATCTTGTTAACTGTGGTGGGACAAAAAATAGATACATTCTGAACTCGAGTGACTTGGACTGTTGCTCTTTGGATCAGATGTATCAAAATGTGGAAGGTACATGAGAAGTGATTTCTGCTTACAGATTAGCAATCACTAGGAGATCTCAAGGCCCTGGTTAGCTCTTAGACAGCTGATTGTTTCCTATATGCTTCTGTTTTTGTTGTTTTTATTAGGAGATCCACAGCAAAATCATGAATCATGGATCTGATGTAGGTATCCTCTCCCCACTACTCTTATTCTCTCGAGGATTGAATCAAAGAATATCTCTGTGTCACATCGCTGGAGCTTTGTGCCTGTGGGCATTGGTGCTCCTGACTGAGAGGAGCAAGCAGAATGAATGAGGATAGGTAGGAATTATATATAGCTAGAAGAGAGATTGCCATATATCTGGAAACAGTTACTAGATTTCTCTTGGAAAATGAAGGGATGCTTACTCTGAAAATGAGTATCAACTTGAATATGACAATTAGTACTTCACAAATGGTAAGATTGGATTGTTTTTTTTTTTTTTTTTTTCCCCCTTGGTTCCTTTTCTCCAAATAACAGAAAAAAAAGTTTTGATGAGAATATAAAAAGACTTAGGAGACCTCAAGTCGTTTGGATTTGCAAATATCTAAATATATAATCAAAGGAACACCCCATGTACACCAAGAAAAAAGACATTTGATGGAGTTAAGAATTCAGATTTGGCATGGTTTTAACATTTGGTCAACTCTTTAAGTAGAATTCTCTGGAAGAGAAAGCTAAGATCATTTTTACTGCTTCTGAGGGAGCAGGGCTGGGAAAGCAGCAGAGGGGCCTGGGACTGTGCTGGCTTACTGAAGCAGATGGGAACCTGTGTTCCACCTGACCTTCTGAAATGTTAAAAGCTTTATTTCTAGTAACATGCAGGGAGGCTAAAGTGAAATATAAAAAGAAGATAAAAGTGAAGGCGTTGGTAGTCACAAGACTGTAAGTTGATAGGAAGAATGTCAGCGGGGGAATTGCTGCTTTTTCAAATGTAAAGATAAATCCCCCCAAGTAACAAAGTAACCAAAAATAAATAGGTAAATAGGTAAGTAAGTGAATCAGAAGTGCTGGATTTTATTTTAGGTGTCAGTAAATTTTAAAGCAATAGTTTTCTACCCTATCCTATCCACTGCCCCTTTTTATAATATTTTGTAATGTTCCTTTTACTCTTCTATAGATAATAGGTAATCTATTATACTTACATTTAAAAAATTATTACCTAATTATATAAAAATAAGAAGCAAATATATATTGTATAAATGCTCAGACAGTCCTAGATGGTTGAGGATAATGAAAATAGATTTTTTTTTTTTTTGAAGATTTTATTTATTTGTCAGAGAGAGAGAGAGCAAGCACAAGCATGGGCAGCGGCGGGCAGAGGTAGAAGCAGGCTACCTGCTGAGCAAGGAGCCCGATGGTGGGACTCCATCCCAGGATGCTGGGATCATGACCTGAGCCGAAGGCAGACGCTTAACCAACTGAGCCACCCAGGCGTCCCTGAAAATAGATTCTTTTTTTTTTTTTTTTTTAAAGATTTTATTTATTTATTTGACAGAGACACAGTGAGAGAAGGAACACAAGCAGGGGGAGTGGGAGAGGGAGAAGCAGGCTTCCCGAGGAGCAGGGAGCACGATGTGGGGCTCAGTCCCAGGACCCTGGGATCATGACCTGAGCCGAAGGCAGACCCCCAATGACTGAGCCACCCCGGCACCCCTGAAAATAGATTCTTAAACCTATAGATGGAATTACCATGGATATGACAACTGCAGATGCAGACTGAAGCATGTCCATTTGTGACTCATGTATCATGAGCATCGTTACTGTCATTGGTGAAAGTGTCTTAATCCATTTGGGCTGCTCTAACCCTTCTGTAGACTGGGGGCTTATAAATAATAGAAATTATTTTTCACAGTTCTGGAGGCTGGGAAGTTTCACAAGATCAAGGTGCCAGTAGATTCAGTGTCTGGTGAGAGCCTGCTTCGGGCTTCATAGAGGGCTGTCTTCTCCCTGTGTTCTCACATGGTGGAAGGGAGCTCTTTGGGGTCTCATTTATTTTAAAAGGGTACTAATCCCATTCATGAGGGCTCTGTGCACATGACCTCCAGAAGGCCCTACCTACTAATACCATCACATTGGGGATTAGATTCTGACATACAAAGAGTAATCTTGTTTTGCTTATCTGGTAGTCAAATTGATGGAAAAATATGTCATATTAAAACCATATAAATATTTTGAGAATATATATGTAAACCTGAGTTAGATTCTAGGCTCAGTTAATTTATAAACTGGTTTTTCCTCTAAGTGAATGTCTAATGGGACATTTGAAATTTGTACTGGATAAAGAAAAGTCATTCTTTGTCTCATTCTTTGAAAGATGCCAAACATCCTTAACCCACTGCTGCCAATCACTAAGACAAGCTGAAACCCACCTTAGGAGAAGGTATCACCTTCATGAAGAGCTAACCTTCTCAAGTATGCTCTTATTTTAATGCTTCATCTTAAAACTGAAGCTCTCCTCTGCAGATGTAGTCCCATATCCTCAGGGCCTTTACATGCTGGAAAAAAGTAAATAAATAACCACCCAGGCGGCCTAATTTAAGTAGACTTCTTCACTGAGAGGTTCAAGTTTGTGAAGCAGTTACATTCTCTAAAGCAATATCGTAACAAAGCGTTTTCTTGTTTCTTCCTTATAGTTAATGTGATATGAAAGATCTGTTCATTTTCTTTTTTAAGATTTTATTTATTTGAGAGAGAGAGTGAGTGAGAGAGAGAGGACACAGGAGCAGGGGCAGAGGAAGAGGGAGAAGCAGACTCCCCACTGAGCAGGGAGCCCTATAGGGGGCCTCTGGGATCATGACCTGAGCCTCAGGCAACTGCTTAACCGACTGAGCCACCTAGGTGCCCCAGATCTGTTAATTTATTTAATCAAGATTCTTTCCAGCCTCTCTCCTGATGACACAGAAAGTGCTTTCACCCTCTGATTGTGGACAGGACAGAGAAAAACTTGCACAGCTCTTAGTTTCGGACTAAGAATTTAACTATTGAGGGAATCATCATTGTTTCAGGAAATCCTGTGTCACTACTGCCAGAAATTTAAGGATAACACCCGTTATTTGGAGTGCAATCAAGATGAACTAATGAAGACAAAGTATCTGACATCCCATTCATTCTAACATTTGGAGTGCAAAATGGATAGTTCTCTCTTTAACAAAGGAGGCCAGGTTTATTCTGTGACCCTGATTTTAAGATACTGATAATGTGATTTACCTAGCTAAATAACCACCTCCGTAACCTTTTCTTCTCAAATAACTACACTGAATTTTCAGCAATTTTTATGCTATAGATAGTATGCAACTGAGTTATTTATTTCTAGTAATGCCCTAATGCCAGATGACGTGCATACCATATAATCTATCATGACAGATGGTTTGCAAATGGAACTATAAATAAAAACTTGTTTATTTGTAGGAATTTATATTCCGGCAATGTTTGATGTCTCAGTTTTCCCTGCCTATTATCTCTTAAGGTAGATTTTAATGCCATTTTATAAATGTAGCATTTGATAGTCTAATAAATACTTTTCATCCCATGTTTCAGCTCTTACTTTTATACAGGAACTTGGATCTTCAGGATTTTCATTCTCCTAAAGTATTTCATACTGTGATACTGATGAGAAAAACATACTTGACAAATTTTTTTGCAAATCTGTATTTACTTCTGTATCTATGGTGTCAGTAATACTGTGATTTCAGTATAACTAAGAACACTTTAGATCTGTCACTGTAGTATCTACTTGTAATAGTGACCCTCTTTAATACCAATGTTCTGATACTGAGATGTCTCATTACCAATTTAATCTTGTAATAAAGAAGAGGGAGCTTTTATTTCAGTCCAGATACTGTTTTCCGGTTAGGAATACAATTCTCACTTCCAAGCCAACTGTGGGCTCATCAGTTTCGTTAAGTGCAGGATGTTGAAACAAAGTATTATTTCCTTATCATCTTCTCACAATGATAGGCAAGGGAAGGGGGAAGTATGAACTGACCTTCTTTTCACTTTTGTTACCTTGTTTGGTCCTCAAAAAAATCTTAGCAATTTGATGCTTTTTTCCCCAAATTACATGTGAGAAAATCATTATGGAGTTTACATAGTTGCCCAAAGTAAGACTTAAGTGTGGCATTTAAAAATATTGGGCTTGAAAGTAAGATAGATTTGAGGTTCAAATCTTTGTTCTTCCCTTGAACCAGCTAGGGTTTGACTTTAGGCAAGTCAGCTCTGATCCTTGGGTTCCTTTACATGTAAAATATGAATGATACCTAATGAAGAGTGCTGTGTAGATTAAAAGTGATAACAGATGCAAAGTATTCAGTATGTATAATGTCTGATACATAGTTATTTCAGAAATGGCAACTGTTAATGGTAACAGTTGTATCCCAGAGATTGCAAGTAGTGGAACCAAGGATTAGGTAATGTCAAATGTAAAAAGAGTGCTCATTCTATTACTAGTTTGTTTTTTTTTTTTTTTTAACTACAGTTAATTCTAATTATAACCTCCACTAATAGAAGACAGCCATTTATGGAGTAATCAAAAATTGAATTTATAACTTTGGCAATTTATGGGAAATTATAATTTTCATCAAACCTTTAGAAAATAACTTGAAGAGGAGGGGTGCCTGGGTGGCTCAGTTGGTTAAGCATCTGCCTTCAGCTCAGGTCATGATCTCAGGGTCCTGGGATTGAGCCCCACATTGGGCTCCCTGCTCAGCGGGGAGCAGCCTGCTTCTCCCTCTCCCTCTGCCCCTCCCCCCGGCTCGTGCTTGCTCTCTCTCCCTCTCTCTCTTTCTTGCTCAAATATTTTTAAAAAATTACTTGAAGAAAAATGGAATTGATAAAGCACAGATTTTGTCTGAATTTACAAAGAATTTTGTCTGCTGATTCATTTACAAATATTTTCTGTTAATTATAGTCCACCATAGAAATTCATGAGATACTTCATTCCTTGAGTGTTTATTGAATGTTTATTATGTACTTAGCAGTCTGCTGTGTACAAAGGATATATTTATAAATAAGAGGTAGATTTGCCTTAAAGATGTATGGCTTAGTCGCTCATTTTTTTGTTGTTTTTTGTGGGTTTTCTTTCTTTCTTTTTTCTTTTTTGGTAATTGCCATCATCATAGTGAGTAGGATTGCTCCAGTGAGCATAGAATGCAGAACTGTATTTCCTTATACTGAACAGTAAGCAAAAATCTGGTTCTTTACACTGGAAGCAGAAAAATTTGTTTTCTTCTTCTGTGGACCTGAGATTATTGGTAAGTTCTGGAATGCTGTGGTCATAGCAGGGGAGATCAGTATTAAGGAGGATGTGATATATTTGGTCATTTTACTTTTGATTTTATCATCAATTAAAATATCATGGTTCCTGTGTGATACTCTTGACATGCTCTTTCTTGTTTGTCATTAGCATTCTTACTTCAACTGAAAATGAAAATCCAGAATGCTGTGCACTTTGTATTTAGGAAGGGATGAAAGAGTTGAATTGACTTATACATGGCAATGATCCTGAAAAAGCTGCATCAGCATCTTTATGTAAAAGCTGATGTTCTTGCTGTTTCAATTATGCCATTTTCAGGGTACTGTGAAAAGGTTTCAGTTTCCTTTTTTCCGAGCATATGTTTTCTGTTGTAACATTTTATTAACTGATTGTCATGTTTTGATCAGGAAAAAACTTTCTATGAAGCTTTGATTATAATTGTAAAAACCAGTTTTTTTTAACTCTATGCTAAAAATTTGTGATATATTTAAATATATGATTGCCCAAAACAAAACATATGGATGGGTATATATCAAGAAGAAATCTGTAAGATGTCATTAACTTCTTACTTTTGGACTATTGTATCAACAGTTACTGTATAATATTGCCACATAATTCTGATTGATATTTTCACTAATAGACATAAATGACTTAGTAGTATTTTATGATTATTTTCATCCATTCTCTGTTGAAGGCATATTTTATAATTTATGTTAATTATGATATTATCAGCTATAAATTGTTCACTGGTATTGATCAGAAATTATAACATGCTAATCATGTTGGGATAAACAAAGGTTATTACTTACTACTAAACAAAATTAACTTTGCTAGTCCTTTTACAATTAATTACTTGCAAATGCAAATAGCTTTCCATAAGCAAACCAGAATGTTATATGAATTAAGAAGAAGATGGGATAAGAAACTGGTTTCTTTTACAAAAGGGTAGCATTATTTTTGAGATTTTATCTGAAGGATAGCACTTCTGAATTTTTTTTTTTTTTTCCAAAAGCTGAGTAACAAATGTCCCTGCACAGATTCATTTATATAGTAAATTTTATGATATGCCCAAAGGTGTTCTAGGTGTTAGGGTCTCTTCTGTGTAGTCCTAGCGTTGTTACTGTATAACATAAGATATGGTTATATTTTTTGTTGCATACAGATCTTTTTTAAAGGATTTTTTAAAATGTATAAAAACTGATAATTTTTTTTTTCAATTTGATTTGGTGTTATTCTTTGCAGAACGCCCTCTTCACTACACAGAAAATGTATTGGAACAGGTGCTTCGGTGGAGTTCATTAGCTGAACCTGGCTCTGCTTATCTTGTGGTGAAGAGATTCTTAACCATTGATACAATTAAACACTATAATGGTAGGTATTGTTATTTCACATTGCAACTACAATTGAAAATTCAGGTGGCTAAAGGATAGTTATTATGGCATAAGTATTATTTGATAATGTAAAAAATGGGAAGCTGAATACAGAATCCACTTGACACAGTATTGTAGGATTGGAAGAAGACTATCTAGACAGAAGTCCCAAGTGCCAGATGCAGATTTTCCTGGAGAGTAGCACTCTGCTAATAGTTGGCTAATTTGAGAGTCCCAGGTTAAGGTTTTTGTAATGAATCGTTTATATTTTTAAAAGGACTTTTGCAATACTTAATGTGTTTTTCTAATTTTTAGATAGATGGTGATTCTTCTTCCTGAATTATGTTTCCATTTGAAAGTTCTCTGGGCACTCAAGAAGTGCCACTTATACAAGCTCTGAGACTGAGTACTTGCTGTAATTCCCATTTATTTTGGGGGTGATATTGGCAAAAAAAAAAAAAAAAAAGGAAGTGCAAATGATATACTTCCAATAAGGATACTTGCCATCCAGTTGGGAGAAGACATGTACACATGGAAGGTTAAATAGGTTAGCAAGCACAAGGGAAACATGCCAGCCAGTCTGAGAACCCTTGTGAGCTATCAGACAACTTTTATTTTCAAACTGATTCTTCTGTCCTGTTGTCATTTACTGACAAATTAGAAAAAAGATTTTCTGCTGGTACTCTACATAAACCAACCCCGAAAGCAAAGGATTTAAGTTCTATAAGAAAATTTACTACTTTTACAATTGATATTCATAATAACTGTTACTGTTTATTAATCACATATCATTAACTGAGCTCTGTACCTAACAGAGCTCATTTAAAGTTTTTTAAATTTCCTAGTGCATTATATTGTCATTTGAAATTTCCAAATGGGGAAAGAGAAGTGCAGAGAAATGAAGTAGTTTGCCCCAGATCATACAGTTTCTAAATATTGGATTTGAGAACAGATTGGTCTGTCTTCTAATTTTATATATATGTACAGCTCTTAAATGCTATAAACCTGCTTAGAAGGATTTCAGGCTCTCCAGCCAATAGCCATAGATCATAAGTTCTTAGTTGTACCACAACTAATCTGATATGTTTCCGACTTCATGATCATGTCCTAGTCTGTTCAGGCAGCTATAGAGCTACGATAGACTGGGTGGCTTATAAACAGCAGAAATTTATTTCTCATGGTCTGGAGGCTGGAAGTCTGAGACGAAGATGCTAGCATGGTTGAGTTCTGGTGAGAGCCTTCCTCAGGTTGCAGACTTCTTTCTTCTTGTCTCCTCACAGAGTGGAGAGCAAAGAAAGGGGAAGCAAGCTCTGTTGTGACTCTTTTTTTTTTTTTTTTTTTCTGTTGTGACTCTTAGTAGGACACTAGTCCTATCATGAGCGCTCCACGCGCTGAACTCATCTAACCCTAATTCCCTTCCTAAAGGCCCCACCTCCTAATACCATCACACCAGGAGGTAGGGTTTCAATGTATGAGTTTGGGGGGACACAAACATTCAGTCCATCACGTGTCCTTTGTATCTTATATATCTGTCCTTTATATCATTTACTTACCTGAAAGCATTTCGACAAAAGGCAAACAGTGTAACAACTTCTGTGTCATTCTGATCTTACAGGCATATAAATAAACAGAACAGGTATATTCTTCTTGCTGGAGAAATTTAGCCTTTTAGAAACCATTATTTTATTTTAAATTCCTTTATTATAACTGCGTATGTTTTTGACCACATACCTACACCTCTTCAGGATTGCAGCAGAAATTTTCTCTAGTCCTACAGATATGACATGATGTAAAGCAGTGGTTCTCAGGTGGGTTCAGTTTTGTTCCCCAGGGGACATTTGGCAGTGTCTGTAGATATTTCTTGACTCACAACTAGATATAGTGGTGTTTCTGGTGTTTAGTGAGTAGAGACCGGAGATGCTGCTAGTCATCCTACAAAACAGAGGACAGCTCTTCACAAAGAATTATTTGGCTCAAAATGTCAGTGGTGCCCATGTTGAGAATCTCCCATTTAGATAATCTATGAAATCTGTTCTAGCTCTTAAATTCTCTTTCACGTTGACATTGAGATGAAGAAAAAGTATCGAGCTTATGAACCAAGTCCTGTCAACATTATGAAATACGTATATATAATAGGTTCTCCTGGTTTCTTTTCTTTTAGAAAATCATCTTTTCAGGTACATTTTTATTTTTATTTTTCTGGTGAGAATTTTCCTTTTCCTTTTTTCCAGTATTCTTCTAAAATGTCTCTATTTTACCATGTTGCAAAATACTTGAAACCCATACCTAGGCATAATACCTTAGCCCTTGTTTGAATGCTAGTGGATTGGCTAGATGAATAAAAACAGACAAGAATAAGATCTTAAAAGGCTGTGATATAAAAGAAATTTTGTGCAGGTGGGGGTGAGGGATAATCAATGCAAGGATACCATTAGGTGCTGATCTTTAAAGAAAAAAAAAACAACAACATTGAGCTGGTACACATTGAGCTGGTTGAGAGCAGTCACATCAGAGTAGAATCGTTGAGGTTGTTTAAAGACACAAAGGAATGGTAGAGTGACAAGTGCCTTGGCTCTGTCTGCAACTGGGTCAGAAGATTAGGTGTTGCCATGATGCTTCACATATTCCTGTGCATCCTCTCTGTGGGGTTAGGAGTGTGTCCTTCTGGTGTGAAAGCATCAGGCTTCCATAAGGTGTAGACAAAACATCTGCATAAAAACCTGGAGAGCCCATGCAGTGGAAAGCAGGCTCAAATGATAGGATCAGGGATTTGGATGACACATTCTCTAGGGTAAAATGTCAGCAAACTTTTGTGTTACTCTCACATCTCCTTCGTTCCTCTCATGGGATGGGAGCCATAAAACATGCCTGTCCCCTGTACTGGCCCGGCCTCAGTTTGCCGAACCAGTATCCAACTTGTTATTATAGTGTCTGTAGTTCTTTCTACCAGGAAATGATTTCTGTTTGCATGGGGGGTGGGGGGGAAGATCAGGTGTTAGAGTAATACCATCAGCAGATAGATTAATTGGACCATTTCATATTAGTTATGTATTTTTGGTCAAAAATAGGAGTACTGATGCAGTAAATATTTTAAAAACATTTTTTTATCTTCTAGCCAATAAAATTTTTATAAATGTTTTTAATTAGAGCTTGATTTATATTTAGATTGTCAAAGCAAAATAATCTCTTTCATTATGGTTTGTTCTGTGTCTGTGTGAATTTAGGATTGTCATTTTAAAGCAACTCCGGCCTGTTGTTTATTTTTTAAATCAATTTCTTATGTCATGATTTTTTCCCCCTATAATTGTATCTTGCAGCAACCTGGAGTTTATAAATACTTCTTATTGGGTATATTTGGTGGTAGATTTTAGGTTGGTTAGATATTCAGTCTACTTTGTCTCTGTCTTGGCGAATGTCTCCTAAATCAATCACAGTGACCACCGACTCCAGAATTACTGCTCTGTTCATTACATCCACTGCTCCTTAAAATTGGGATCTAAAAGGAAAGTAATGGAAGTAAATCAAATGTGATTTCTCTGTCAATTTGTTAGCAGGAAAACTGGAGTCATCTCAGAAATACATTGCTCCGCATGGCAGAAAAAGAACAATGTGAAGGATTTCTTTTTCTTTCTTAAGATTTTCTTATTCTAACCTGGGGACCAAGTGGAAATTAGCAGATTTTGAAACAAGGGTAGTTGGTTGCAGCCACATTTTTTTCTCAGTAACAAATAGCTAATGTTTTAACATTTTGTTAAGATATAAAATAGTACAACCTATGTCTTTCCATACTTGAGGTCTAGTTGCCACAGATTTTACTATCTGCCTACCTGTTCCTACCTCTATTCCTGTATCTACATATACAAATATATATGTGTATATATATGTCTGTGTGTCTGTGTTTGAGTATATACATGACTTGCATTTCATTAATTGTATGAGAGTTTTTCTGATGTATATAACAAATTACAAGCACATACTTTTGTTTTACATTACGTTTTCAACACCTACTTGCTAAATCAAAAATTTTATCAAATAATAAGTTTAAGGGTTTCAGGTAGTTTAGGGGTTTTCATTTCCTTAATTTTCTCACTTGTGATTTCTCATTTGTGATTGACATCACAAATAGTGGATTTTAGAATCATCCAACACTTAATTTCTGCTCATTCATTTGAGGTAATGAGGTAGTATACTTTCCTTTTATAAAAGTATATGAGAGTAAATAAATTTTCTGTTGCCTCTACTTAGAAATCAATTGTGTGTTCTTCAAAAGCAGCATTTTATTTCTTGGAAACATTTTATCCCATTGCCATTATTGTAATGAGGAGTTAACTAACTTGAAAAGAAAGATAATAGTCCTCAAATTTCTTTTCTACCCCATGGATTATGACTGAGACATTACGATAAGGAGAATAAAACTTCATTTAAATTGCCATTTAGACATTGTCGTAGCTAATCTCATTAGACTGTCTTTTGTTATCATTATCTCTTGTATTGAGTTAAGCTTCAGCATCTCTATCACAAGTAAACCATAAATGAATACCTTCTCTAAGTCTCCAGAATAAATAATTTTATGTTGCTAAAGTCTTGTTTTAAGCATTAAGGATCTTTAAAATTATCCCAATAGAATGTGATACATTGTAGTCAAGTTTTAATGATCTCAATGGAGAAGAAATACTTTTAAGATATAAGATGTAACTCAAATGCAGATCCCTGTGGGTTTCTAAATTTAGATTGCTGCATATGACAGATGCTTTGGAATTAAATTTGCATTAGAATAGAATAGTTCAAAATGCAACTGCCTCTGGCAAATACAGACCTGGAAAGCTGAACCATCCACTATGAACTGACTTAGGAAAATAAAAGAAAATTCCAGCGAAAGTAGTACGAGTCCATAAATCATAGTCTAGCTGAAATAATTCACTTTCCACTCCCCATCAAATCTTTTAAATCCAAATGTATATAAACATTGAAGGTAAGCCTAGTCCACATCAAATGGAAGTA